GAAATACCACCTGCAGCCGCTGAATTACAAATGAACATAAATCCTCCAACGAGAATGGAAGTCCTGAACGCCATAAAGCTACTGAAATGCAGGAAAGCAGCTGGACCAGATGGGATACAGCCAGAAGCACTGAGAACAGACGCAGAGACAACAGCGGACATGCTCACACCACTATTGCAGAAGGTGTGGAAGGAAGAGAAGGTACCTGGCCATTGATTGGAAGAAGGGTTACCTTGTCAAACTGCCGAAGAAAGGAGACCTCAGTGTTTGCAAGAACTGGCGCGGAATCACTCTCCTGTCCACCCAAAGCCAGCAAGATATTAAGCCGCATCATCCTGGAGAGGCTTAAAGATGCGCTGGATTCAAAACTACGACCGGAACAGGCTGGCTGGCTGGCTGGAATCAGGAAGTACAAATCATGTGCAGACCAAATTGCAACGCTTCGCATTATCATAGAACAGAGCATAGAATGGCAGTCAATCCTCTACCTTACCTCAACTTCATCGACTTTGAGAAGGCCTTTGACAGCGTCGACCGAGAAGTAATTTGGAAACTGCTTCACTACTACGGAGTACCGCAAACCTTTATCCACCTCATTCAACAACTATATGAAGATGCCATATGCTGGCCAAGTAATTCACAATGGGAAGCTCAGTGATGATTTTGAAGTGAAGACAGGAGTGAAACAAGGTTGCCTACTATCCCCCATGATATTCCTGATTGTGGTCGACTCGACTGGATCATGCAGCAAACAGTAGGCAGCGAGAAGAGGGGGATACGCTGGCTGGACTGCGGAAAAGAACCTAGAAGACTTGGATTTCGCCAACGATGACTTGTGCCTGATCTCACATAAACTTGAAGATCTGCAGGCAAAGACTAACAAGTTGATAGAAGAGGCAGCGAAGACGGGACTTCAGGTGAATATAGAGAAGACAGAGGTGATGAAGATACCGCACCAACAACTCCAACAACAACAACAAACTCCAATCGCCATGAACGGGAGAAACTTAAAGGAAGTAGCCTCCTTCACCTATCTAGGAAGCACTGTCTCAACTAAAGGCGGGACAGACGAAGATGTCAAAGTCAGAATCGGAAAAGCAAGACAGGCGTTCATTAGCCTGAAACCAGTGTGGAGATCTTCTGCACTCAGCATGCGGAACAAGATACGGATTTTCAACACCAACGTCAAGTCAGTGCTTCTGTATGGCTCAGAGACTTGGCGCGTCACGAAAGGGATTTCCAATAAACTACAGACATTCATCAACAACTGCTTACGCTCGCTACTGAAGATCAGATGGCCAGAAAGAATAAGCAACGAGGAACTCTGGGAACGAACCAACCAAGAACCTATCACGCAACAAATATGCAGGAGGAAGTGGAGATGGATTGGCCATGCACTGAGAAGGCCGACTGAGGACATCACCCGTCAGGCCAGTCACTCGAGTGGAATCCCCAGGGGAAGCGACGAGTTGGACGTCCGAGGGTGACATGGAGGAGGTCGTGCGAGGAGGAAATGAGAGCTTGTGGGCTGTCATGGAACCAGGTTCAAAAGATCTCAGAGAGTAAAGGTCACTGGAGACGTGCTACTGAAGCCCTATGTTCCACTAGGAACCCAAGGGACTAATAATAATAATAATAATAATAAATAGTATGCCTTTTTATGGTTAGCTACACTGATCTTATCTGCTTTTAACCTGCAAAGACGTACCGACATATGCAGGCACGAATGGTAATAGGCCTTGCAGTTTTCCAATTAATTCATATCTTCCTGACCGATTCAGTCTAAGGGTCACAGAAAGCGCTGACTCTACCGGAGATGGAGGCAACAAAGTGGAAGAGACGTCTCTGTTCATAAAATAAACGAAACCAAGTGGAAACAACTCAACCTGCGGAATTCAGTATCAGATATGAGTAAAAGTGTGTTTTATGCGTTCCCACAACTGTATTGCAAATTCTCTCACTAGTAAGTGAATTACGCGCGGGCATTATAAAGTTGTTCGGTACCAGTGTGGTCTTATGTTTGGTTTCTTCAAATTAACACTTAATAACGTTTACGTCACGTGTTACTGAACTTGCTTGTTGTGTAGATTTGTATTAAGTAGTAACTCATTTTGTTTAGTTGTTCGAAGCTATTGGTTCTGCGTCTGCGTTGTTTTTTAATTTTGGCTATAGCCTTACATTCCTGATTATAGACAGGAGTTTCTCAAGGAGCAATCCTTGGGTGGCTCCTATTTTTACTATTCATAAATGAACTTTGAATTAACATCCCGTCTGTCCTCCTATTTGCTGACGGCATCATGTGTGCAATCACGGATGCATCCTTAAGGACTTAGGACTAAACTTTTCTGACACACTGGATACTATTGACAATTATAAGGGAATGGCAGCAAAGGCGAACGCCATTATGCAATTTTTAAGAAGGCGACGTGGATTGTTAGCCCGAGAATTATTCCTTATGGTATTTAAAACCTATGTTAGACCACACCCTTGAGGTGTTCAGCACGACACTTCCCCACCCCCAACTAATAAAGAGAGATGCAAATACTCTGGAGAACATACAGAGAGGAGCGACAAGGTTGGCCGTCGAAATAGCAGGCAAAATATATGCACAATGTCTCAGACAACTGAACTTGTTTACGCTAAGCCATCGAAAGAAACCGCCTACAAGATCATTCACAAAGTGGACCATCCAAATAGGTCAACGTTATCGGTTCCGAATTGATAGCCTCATGGAAACCCCACTCGCATTTCCCACCATACGGCAAAGACGAGAGTGAGATGTAGCTTCTCCCACAGAGTATATGCCTTATGGAACATTGCCATAGGAAGTAGCCACAGTTACATCAGTCGACTAATATAGGAGTAAAACTTGGGCACTTTGGTCGATTCTTATTCCATTTTAGTGTTTCTATTAGAAATGTTACTCAGTGAAACAGTATTATTTACTGGATAACGTTTCGGACACAATTTTTCTACATTCATATCAGGTGGCTCCACAACCTCTCCTTCTCTGTGATGACAAGGGCAGTAAATTTTCCGTGTATCTGGGACAGGTGCAGAATCGTTTTTGTTGCATGTATTTGGTGTTGATCCGATAAACAAAGATTCGGTCATAATTTGACTTCAATCGACTACTGCTTGAGTACGTGAGCGCAAATGGCTGACCAGGAACATTTGTCAGTAGCAGCTGATGATGTGCTCTTCCATCCCTGAATTTCCCGACCCTAGTATATGTAATAGGACGCATCTCTTCTCCATATTATATTTCCATGAATACTTTTTACTCACCTTTTTCTCATTCCCCACTCACTCTACTTCTAGAACCTTTTAAGTAACGCTTAGTGTTTACTTGCAGGTTCTTACAGAAGGAGAAATCACAAACGGTTAAGTGATCTTATCAGTAGTTCTTCCCCCCCCCCTCCGAAAACAAATCAAGCTGCAATTTGCAAATAAAATACCTTCAAATAGACAATCACTGCCTCCAAAGCTATAAGCAGGAAAAACCCAGACTTCTGCGACCGTCTAAGGAGTATAACAAAAAGAACCGAGCCTCAAGACGTTGAAGTGAGAGCGAAAAAACTACCAGTGTCATCTACTCTCATTATTGATGTCGGATGTTGAACATCTTAAGGAAAATGCGGAAGGCGGAAGAAATTTTAGGAAAGTGTACATACTTACGCATACTTATGTTGGCTTCGAAATTTAGACATAGTTTTGGTGTATGAACACGATTACCACGAAAACGGTTTTCCTAACTCCTGGCTTATAAGCCGGGATTTCAATTTGGGGCTCAACCTCACTTACTTGCAGTCTACATATGGTAAGCAAAGTGTCCGAGTATAGCATATCAGCTGTCTATAAATCAGTTGGTTGTGGTATTGGATGGAAACGCTGGCGCAGTTTTTTGTTCAGAGTGGAGTAACTGTTCGAGAATTGAAATTACTGATTTACGTGTTCCAGAGCTATGCAGGGAATATGCAGATTTTATGATTTACCGAACTAGCTCACAAGGAACCATTGGACGTTTTAGGGCATTATAATGACCCGTTGGCTTTGCTAAACATACTCTTGGATTATTAGCTGAATATTGGTTATCTGAAGTATGGAGAGAGATGAAATTTCGGTTTTATTTCTTGTAGGTGAGGTTAGCGGGTCGACTAAACTTCCTGTAACCTGGAAATGTTGAATGCTGCAGAGATCCTGTTTCAGTTTGAAGGTACTAATGTGAGGTTAATAAACAATGTGCTCCATCTCCACTTTCTTCTGCAGATTTGTTGGGTAACAGGTTCTTGGTTGGTTCGTTGCCAGAGTTCCTTGTTGTTTATTCTTTCTCTCATTCTGATCTGATCTTCAGTATCGGGCGAGCGTAGGTGGCAGCTATTGATGAATGTCTGCAGTTTGTTGGAAATGCTTTATGTAACGCACCAAGTCTCTCAACCATCACATAGAAGTACTAACTTGACGTTAGTGTTGGAAATCCGGATGTTGTTCACCCTTTATGCTGAGTGCAGTCGATCTCCACACTGGTTTCAGATTAATGAAGGAAGGCCTGTCTTTCTGTCTTTCCGATCTTTGCTTTGACGTCATCATCTATGCCGCCTTCTGTAGTTGAAACAATGCTGCCTAGGTAGGTGAAAGAGGTTTCTTCTGTTAATGGTGCTTGTTGTTGTTTTTGGTTGCTTATCTTCACCTCTGTCTACACCTCTCTACACACCAGAAGGAAGTCCGTCTTCGTTATCTCACTTAGCCTCTTCTGTCAACTTGTTGGTTTTTGCATGTAGATTTTCAAGCTTGTACGACATTAGACATAAATCATCGTTGGCGAAATCCAAATCTTCTGGGGTCTTTTCATCGGTCTAGCTAGCATATGCCCATCTCGCTCCTCACGGTTTGCCGCATGATCTGGTCCAGTGCAATCACAATCAGGAAGATCATGATTAATAGTAGGCGGCAGCCTTGTCTTACTCCTGTCTTCACTTCACTTCAAAGGCATCACTGAGCTTTCCATTGTGAATCACTCGGCATATGGCGTCTTCATACAGCCGTTGAATGAGATTGATAAAGATTTGTGGTACTCAAACCGTAGTGTTGAAGTAGTTGCCTGCCAAATTACTTGTCGGTCGACGCTGTCGAAGGCTTTTTCAAAGTCGATGAAGTTGATGTAAAGATCCAGTTGGCTGCCATTCTATACTCTGTTCTATGATGATGCGTAGCGTAGCGTTGCAATTTGATCCGCTTATGATTTAATCTTCCTGAAGCCAGCTAGCCAGCCTGTTTCGGTCGTAATTTTGAGTGCGGAGTATTTTTTAGGCTCTCCAGGATGATGCGGCTTAATATTTTGCTTGTTTTGGGTGGACAGGGACAGGAGCATGATTCCGCGCCAGTTCTTGCAAAGACTTAGGTTGCCATTCTTTCGGAGTTTGATGAGGTAGCCGTTCTTCCAATCAATAGGCAGGTACTTTCCCTTCCTTCCTTGCAAACATTCTGCAACAGTGGTGTTAGCGTGTCCACTGTTGTCTCTGCGTCTGTTTCCAATGCTTCTGAAGGAATTCCATCTGGTCCTCCTGCTTTCCCGAATTTCAGCAACTTTATGAAGTTCAAGACTTCGCTTCCGTTTTGTCGGAGAGCCTGTGTTCACTGGTAATTCTGCGGTTGCTGACGGTACTTCTGGACGAGTTGCAGGTGGTGGTGATGGTGGTGGTCGATTCAAGAGTTTTCTGAAGTAGTCAGCCCATTGTTTCCTTTTTTTCTCCTATTTGGCGGTAACTAAGTTTCCTTCACTATTTTTCATTGATTTCATCTGCGTTGATCTCTTCCCTCCCAGATAGTGACCTGGTTATTTGATATAGTGTTGTCAAGTCTTCGTCTCTCCCACCTGCAGCCTGTTCTGCTTCACTTGACAGTGTGTCGCAGAAATGTCTTTTGTCTTTCCGTGCACTCTTCTCTTCTTGGCCCGGTGAAGTGTTTTATAAGCTATATTCAGTTCCTCTGTCCGTTGTTCACCCTGCACTTCACTGGTTCATCTTCTACTTCACCATCTTCCTCTCCCTGCTCCATCATCTTCCATGTGTCTGTCGAGATCCATTCCTTGTCTTGTTTCTCCATCTTTCTTCCTAGCACGGTTATGCAGTTTTCCTACTACGTCTCTTTCAAAGAGTTCCAGTGTTCTTCCATAGAGGTTTCTTCAGGGATGTCGCTTAATATTGCCCATTTTGTCCTGATGACTGACGTGAAGATGTCCTTTGTAGTTTCGTCGTTCATTTGGTTTCTGTTCTGAATGTTGAACCTGAACTGTGGTCTATCATCACCAGCTTGTTTGAAGGCTTTCAACTTGATTTTGCAGGAAGGTTCCTTGGACTAGATAGTGATTGGTGTGAACCTACATCTGCTCTCTGTCTTTATCTGATCTTGTGTCCAGTAGACTACGTCTCCACTTTCTTCACATTGAGATGAAGTCGATCTGATTTTTAGTGTGGGTATATAACACTGCATATCAGTGCGGTCAAGGTAAGGCTGTATAGGAAAGATGAAAGAAATATGCTAAGAACAAAGACGGAAATATAATGAATAACAAGACATCATCTTTCATATGATCATGGCTTGAAGAGATAGTTTTCAATCATTGCACCTGGTGTTTCAAGCTGAAAAGTTTTACTGTCTTTCCGACCTTAATTTTCAAAAGAATTTTTAAGTTCCATTTATTCAGAATGAAAAAGTTCCGGACAGCGCAATACTATCGAACGTTAATGTTTATCAATCTCCTGAATAAGTTATGTAAACCACAGCATAAACTAAGAAAATAGACAACTTGTTTTAGATTTCGTCATAACGAGTCTGTATATTACTCCGAAAATACTAAGATAACATAGTCCTGTTGGGTGAAGACGCTGACAAAATGTAGTCTTCTGGACACCTTGAGTGGGTTTCGGATGCGTTTCTGGCCACTAAAAATGTAAATTATTGCTCCAGAACTTTTCTTCAACGGTTCCACGGCTAACAATAGAGAGTTAAGTGGTTAAGCGCGTTAAACATTTCACCTACCCGAGAAGTCGGATCAGCCCTGGTGGTTCAGTGGCTGACGAAATCTCTGCACGAATGCAAAAAGCTTGGTTGGCTTTTGCCAACTCATGCCATGTATGGTGCCGCCGCGATATCCGATTGTCTTTTGGGGGTCCAGTGTATTGTGAATCAGTCAGCTCTGTTCGTCTGCATGGCTGTGAAATATGACCACTAAAGGTAGAAGACATGAAAGGGCTCCTAGTGTTTAACCACTGTTGCCTTCGTAGCACACTAGCCGGTTGGTGTCCGCGGGAAAAGAGAAACCAGTGGTTGCAGACTCTAGGTGATGTAGCTCAGAACTGATGTCAGTGACGCAGATGTTTACACACATTATCCCCATCTTAACTGCCATACTTAATCTTATCATTTTATCATTCTTCCTTCGCATTTGCTACTCTCTACTTCTTTTAATGGACTTTTCTTTCTCACTTCATCTTCGATTTTATTGCCTTGTTACTTTATGTACTGATATGATGTATGGTAAATTGGTAATGCTTGGCCGTATGTTGATTAGTTTGTTTGTTGTTCTTACCAAAAATACCCGACTTTGGATGCACCTTTCCCTCGCATTATGGTCGTCGTGAACTAAATTTCTAAGGTATTTTATATTCATTCCTTTTGTGCTTTTCAATACGGAGATATTTCTTTGTAGACTTTTTGTATTTAATGACAAAAATTATTATTTAGGTATTACAGCAAGCATGTATAAAATGGAATTTGAGTGAAAAAAGTCAACAAAATACGTATAAAAATGTTGCTTCATGGTTTCCCCCGGCTCCTTTGTGGTCAAATACTCAGGTTCCACAGGTTTAGCTCAACTATAGCTTCCTATCGTAATCTTGTTGCTGATGTAGTGGGTAAGTAAGTCTGTGTAATTTTAATCCTGTCAGCTGTACATAGTCCACCGAATTCTGTTTATAGGTCTCATAGTTGTGGCGAGCTGAATGTGAAACACATTGACCTAGTTGTGTCAGTATGTGGGTGGCTTGATTCCTTCAGATTTTCATTCCGTTTTCTTGTTCTTCGTGACGACTGTGGTTCAGTACAAATATACTGCGATACAAAGTCACTCACAATCCCTCCTCTTACTTTAGAATCAGTCTTGAAGGTGACTGGCAAAGTTAAAGCCCGTCCAGAAAAAGATATCAACCAGGTAATTCTCTATTTACTTTAGATGGTATTTTCAAGTTGATGTCAACTGGTGAAATAGAGATAATTGCTGATAGCGTTGAAGTTATCAATCAGTCTTCTCCACTTTCATTCCAACCGAAGACTGCAATGACTGTTTGTTGTTATTTCCTAATTAGATGATCACATTTAAGGTTAATGAGATAGAAAGATTAAAATGTCGTTACCTTGACCTTCGTTCGTGCGATTTACAAAAAAATATACGATTTCGCTCATCCATCATATTACAAATGAGGAACTTCCTATGTCAGGATAATGGTAGTCTTAAAATTTTGTTTGGTTTACGACCACTTTCTTTCAGGATTTGTCGATATCGAAACTCCTTATCTATTTAAATTAACTCCAGGGGTAAGTTTTACAGTTTTGTTATGCTTCCAGGGTGCACGTGAATTTGTTGTTCCCACTAAATTTCCAGGGCTATGTTATTGTTTACCTCAAAGTCCTCAACAATTTAAACAACTTTTGATGGTGGGTGGATTCAGTAAATATATGCAGATTGCAAGATGTTTTCGTGATGAGACTTCCAGGTCTGACAGGCAACCTGAATTTACTCAGGTAAGTTTCTTCACACTTCCGTTCCACTTTTTTAGTTAGATATAGAAATGGCATTCATAACTCCAAATGATATTTATGGATTAATTGAAAATATGATGCTGCATGTTTGGCCTTTAGTCCAAAGTACTTCAGGATGTATGCCAATTTCCGCTCCTTTTCAACAGATGGAATATAGTGATGCTATGTTACAATATGGAAGTGACAAACCAGATGTACGTTTCGATCTGTTACTGTCAACCTTCACAGATGATGGACATATTGGTTTTAATATACCAAAGAAATATGTAAGTTTTGATAAACATTGGCTCATTGTTATATGCTTAGGTTACTAGGTTGACAAGATTGTGCATTTAATTTAATATCTTTTGACAGTATAGTGATTTACTACGGCAAACTTACGTTCGGAATACAAACGGAGAGTTCAGTGTCTTACGACTTTAAAAATGCCACCAGATATCGATACTAGCCAGGGTTCGTGGAATACACTCAATAGACCCATGTAATCATTGAATAACTGGTCTAGAGAAAGAAATCCTTTTCGAAATGATCAAAAAGATTGGCAACTCAGGAGGATAAAGATATTAGTTCGGTGTTCTCTGAGCTTTGATATTCTATCATGGTCGTTTCATCGCCAGGTTCGATGACATTCTCAGCACTAACTTAAAGAAGTGAAACATATTCGAGTTTTACACGAGTGTTAAGGTAGTGTTTTCGTTGATCTTTGGTATTGTCCAACTGTGATTTCGGTAGGAGATTTTCATCATACATTGACCTCTCTTACCTTACATCTGCTTCGGTCACCGTAGTAGACAATCTCCGTTGGAGTGAGGTTTTTCTATTTTTAACTATCACATTGCTTCATTATTGATTTGTTTGGGCGATTTGTGGTTGGTTGATTGTTGGCTGTTTTCTTCGTAAGTGAATTGAGTTTGTGTCCATATATCTATTTATTGACTTCACGTTGGAATGTCATGCTTCTGGAAATTTTCTTGCAGCTTTTGAACCTTCTGATTGGAGGATTTTCACTTTCTTCCAGTCGAATATGTGACCATGATTGTCTGCATGCATTGAGGCTAAGGAGGCTTCGTCATGTCGCCTCACTGCTACATGATGTTTGTGCATTTTTTCACCAGTCTTAGTCCTAGTCTGACCAACTTAGTGTTGTGAGCAATCTTTGCAGTTGTTCTTGCGGATTATATTTATCATGTCTTCCTTTGGCAACGGATCTCTTCGCTCGCACAAGATGCTGTGTAGTGATTCCTTTGGGTTGCATACGAACCCACTCCCGAACTAATGAAGCAATCAGCATTCAATTTCTGAGACATCTTTGAGGTAGGATAGAATAACACGTCTAATTATTTGAGGTAGTTAGCCTATCCTTTGCTCTACTAATAAAGATTTTTTTGAGTGGATAATCATTAGCTTTGAACGCTTTGTACAAGTATTCTTCCTCGGCTTTCCTTGAGTGCTTAGTTGCTGCAATGCATTCTGGCTTTTAAGAATAGTGTTTGTATACAACATTTCTTATGGACTGTAGAAGGATAACTGTTGTAGCTTAAAATCCTTTGCATCGAATTTGTTTTAGAAAACCTAAAAATCGTATAAACGCTCAAATCTTTTATTATCGAGTCACTGCATGTGTTTACAAGACATCACGGTCACACTACCAACCACTCAAATAGAGAACTAGTACTGTTAATTTCTATTGGAATGGTAGCTTTTTCAAAAGTATGAAAATCCAGTTGATTACTTCAGTAGCTGTTCGGGAATGACCCGTAGAATCATGTATGAATTTGAGACGTTATGTTGATAGGTTGTGTTTACGAAATCGTCACATAGCTTTCGTCAGTAGAGGAAAAGTTGTAATATGTATGGAAACACCGAAAAATATAAGTGTCTGTAAAAACACGTTCATTCATTCATTTAAAAAACAACACCATGACTGTGAAGGAGGATATCATAAGCAGAACATTTCAGTCTAAGTTATTCAGTGTGTATAAGTAGAAAGCAAAGTAAAGTTAAAATAAAACTGGAAACATCTTAGCTAATCTTACATTACAGTGATCAGTGTTCAAGATTTCCAAATGTCTCAGTCAGTTATTCACGTTATTACCATTACTGAAACTATGGCTGGAAATCGGTCGCAATGACGCAGATGTATTCACTCTTTGATGTCTAAAACTTGAATATTTACACTAACCTTTGTCTTTAAATTCTTTGTTCTCTCACATAACTTCATCCACTTTGGTGTCACTTTTTCTATCCACCTGTTCTTTGCGTACTACTGTAGTGTGGTAACTTGAGTCGACACACCTGTATATGAGGTTCTACTTTGATTTTTTCTGTCAGTCAGTCATGGTAGTGAAAAAAATTTGACAAGTTCCTTTTGGGTACATAGTCCTGACTTCATGTTATGAATTTCCAAGGGTTCTTCAGTATTTCGTTGAAGATGGCATAAAAAACCATTAAAAAGGTTCAGTGGAATTTGTAAGTAAAATCGAAGTATTCGAAGCTGAATAGCCCGTGTCAAATAACTTCAAAATAGATTAATTGATTGACCTTCGTTACCCTTGACTAAGCAATACTAGGAAGTGTTCTCGAATGTAGCCAACGATAGGCCTTGATGAACAACCTACATGCCCACCTCCATAAAAACAGGTGAATTGATAAAAGTATATTGTCCTTCACACTAGAGGATTACCTTAATAAATTGTTCTAAGATTTGCTGCGTGTGACTTCTTATGAAGCAGTCTTTCAGGGGGCTTTCCAAAATATTATCAACAACATCACCATTGATTCCTAGATTCGAAAATGACGTCTTAATCGAAACAATGTTAGTGGGAATCAGCAGACAATTGATCTAATATCAACGTCATCAAATAAACTAAATCATTTCTAATCAATAGTATTTAACTGTTCTTGCCAATTCATGGGAATGGAACTGATAATGCAACTCTATCTTACCAGATAAAACTTCGAAATACGTCAACTCACCAAGAAGATTGAAAATATTTTGATCATTTGCCGTTATAGGGGAAACTCATTTGGCGTTACTCGACCGACAGAATTACACGGATAAAATGATGGATGTACTCTGGAATAAAAGTAAATTTTCGGAACCTGATATGGCAGGTTTTGTATTTTTGGGAAATAGTACATTGAAGATGTATGTCATCATCATCATCATCATTATCAACATAGGACCAGGCATTACTGCGTAACGGTCCGAGTTGCCACACCTCATATCAGCACATCAAGTAAAAAGGTAATGAGGTGAAGGATGAAGATAAGTGAATGCAGTCAAAAGAAATATAAAGTACAAGAAGAAAGGAAAGAGGAGTGACAAAATAGTGAGATTCGGTATAGCGTTGTTAAGATGAAGATAATGTGTGTATACATCTGCGCCACTGACTTCGGTTCTGAGCCATATCACCTAGGGTCTCCAACCACTGGTTCCTCTTGTCCCGTGGACCCCAACCACCTAGTCTGCATCGTCCTACATGGCTTAAACCAATAGTCAGAGACTTCATACATTGGTGCCATGTTTTAGTCTGACCACCTCGGGCCTTTTCCAGCCTGGACCCACCTCAGCCAACATTGTGTGACGAGGCAAACGGTGACTAGGCATATGTAGTACGTGTCCCAACCATCTCAGTCGATGAAGGTTCACAACCTCGTCAACTGACTTACCTTTTCCCCCCTAAACTCTACACCTAACTTCTGCATTACTCACATGGTGACACCACGGAATACGTCCTATACTAGGAAGGCAATGGTGGTCAAACACCTGAAGCCTTTTTGTATCCTCCACTTTCAATGGCCATGTTTCACAGCTATATAGTAGACAGAGCGGACTGCTGTGCAGTACACGCGACTCTTAATAGACAAACGAATATCACGGCGGCGCCATTTTATTATTATTATTATTATTAGTCCCTTGGGTTCCTAGTGGAACATAGGGCTTCAGTAGCACGTCTCCAGTGACCTTTACTCTCTGAGATCTTTTGAACCTGGTTCCATGACAGCCCACAAGCTCTCATTTCCTCCTCGCACGACCTCCTCCATGTCACCCTCGGACGTCCAACTCGTCGCTTCCCCTGGGGATTCCACTCGAGTGACTGGCCTGACGGGTGATGTCCTCAGTCGGCCTTCTCAGTGCATGGCCAATCCATCTCCACTTCCTCCTGCATATTTGTTGCGTGATAGGTTCTTGGTTGGTTCGTTCCCAGAGTTCCTCGTTGCTTATTCTTTCTGGCCATCTGATCTTCAGTAGCGAGCGTAAGCAGTTGTTGATGAATGTCTGTAGTTTATTGGAAATCCCTTTCGTGACGCGCCAAGTCTCTGAGCCATACAGAAGCACTGACTTGACGTTGGTGTTGAAAATCCGTATCTTGTTCCGCATGCTGAGTGCAGAAGATCTCCACACTGGTTTCAGGCTAATGAACGCCTGTCTTGCTTTTCCGATTCTGACTTTGACATCTTCGTCTGTCCCGCCTTTAGTTGAGACAGTGCTTCCTAGATAGGTGAAGGAGGCTACTTCCTTTAAGTTTCTCCCGTTCATGGTGATTGGAGTTTGTTGTTGTTGTTGGAGTTGTTGGTGCGGTATCTTCATCACCTCTGTCTTCTCTATATTCACCTGAAGTCCCGTCTTCGCTGCCTCTTCTATCAACTTGTTAGTCTTTGCCTGCAGATCTTCAAGTTTATGTGAGATCAGGCACAAGTCATCGTTGGCGAAATCCAAGTCTTCTAGGTTCTTTTCCGCAGTCCAGCCAGCGTATCCCCCTCTTCTCGCTGCCTACTGTTTGCTGCATGATCCAGTCGAGTCGACCACAATCAGGAATATCATGGGGGATAGTAGGCAACCTTGTTTCACTCCTGTCTTCACTTCAAAATCATCACTGAGCTTCCCATTGTGAATTACTTGGCCAGCATATGGCATCTTCATATAGTTGTTGAATGAGGTGGATAAAGGTTTGCGGTACTCCGTAGTAGTGAAGCAGTTTCCAAATTACTTCTCGGTCGACGCTGTCAAAGGCCTTCTCAAAGTCGATGAAGTTGAGGTAAGGTAGAGGATTGACTGCCATTCTATGCTCTGTTCTATGATAATGCGAAGCGTTGCAATTTGGTCTGCACATGATTTGTACTTCCTGATTCCAGCCAGCCAGCCAGCCTGTTCCGGTCGTAGTTTTGAATCCAGCGCATCTTTAAGCCTCTCCAGGATGATGCGGCTTAATATCTTGCTGGCTTTGGGTGGACAGGAGAGTGATTCCGCGCCAGTTCTTGC